CTGTACAGAGCATATAGCAATCAATCTTGGGTTGTGCCTCTGATTCCATTCTCCCTTGGGATCGTCGTGACATTTGAATGCAGCTCTGATTCTGACTAATTAATTTGGCTAATAGAATGGCTTACTGGGGCCGCCGATGTTGAAAACAAACCCGCGATAGTTATTGATATGAAAAATGAATGTGTAGGTGAACAGCGAAGGGGAAAGCCAAAGGAACAGTGGAAAACCATGAACAGGGCCCATTGAGTGGGCAACTTGTTCGGACTTGCTGATTCCATGCCAGAAAATGGGTATGGCTGCGGCCTTAGTGCATTCCTTGACTCACAATCGTTTCTTTCGCCCTCCAGCCCTGAATCCTGTACAACACATGGAAAAAAAAGAAATAGCATGGAAACAAAGTTCGTAGCATAACTTCATCTTTGTGAAGCTTTGCAATTTAGCTTTGAAGTCTTTGGGAATAGCTTTGGAAACTTTGGAAAAGATTTTGAAAATCCTTGTGCGGAGCTGGGATTACCGTAATCTAACGAACTATTGCACAAAGATAATTGTAGCATCGATCAACTGTAGCAGCGTCAAAATGGACCCTGCCTTCTATAATGGTGTGCTTTTCAGTATATGCATCCCTTTTCAAAAAAGCATCAGAGAAAGCAGACTAGTACGTTGCGCATGGGGGGTAAGTTGGAAGAAGACGGGGACCTTAGCTTGGCCGCACACACTATGAATGGCACCTTGTCTACAGACGAGATCTTCAAGGACAAACCTCGAGGTGGTATATTGTGAACAGTGGCGTTCACGTACTAACCCGTTGTCGCCAAATAACTCTCCAGGGAGGAGAAAAGGAAAAAAAATCATGGAGTATACCCTAAGTAAGAGACCTGGCAGCCTCTCTGTGCGAGTTGTCCGGACCAGCACGTTTCATGCCAGCAAAGTGATATCCTGCCACCCTGGCTCACTGATCGTTTCTTCGCGTCGTCCTATGCTGACACCATCTAACAGTCAAAATAAATGAAAAAGGCGGTGTAAAAGAGGAACTCGAGGTAGAAAATAGCCTTTGTTTCGTGGGCGGGATAACCGGGGAGGTGTCAGAATTGCCACTTATGAAGACTGCAGCGCCTTCGTTACTTACAGTGAAACCGCGAAAGTGGGATAACCTCGGAGACTGAGGGCCAGAATACTAGTACAAAGAAGACGCCTACGAATCGTGTGAGCGCGGGACTGACACTCTTTGACAGATCTAGTCTTAGATGGGCAAGGCGACAGGCCTCTTATACACCTTCATCTTCTGATAGCCAAGGAACCTCGCTTATAATGGAGTCGGAAAAGTGGAACAGTCCCGGAGCTCGTGGACCGTCTTGCTATGATAGGGTCTGAATTCTACTGTTGTAGGGGGTCGGTCTTCAGTGCTAGCGTATTTATCTTCCCCGTCTGCTTGGGTACCACCTAGTCGAATCCAGAGAAATGAGGAGTTTAGAGGTCTAGCGCGGTACCGATCCGAGATTCCTTGGACTGTAACAAAAGTTCGTAAAATTTTTTTCTTATAAATACCTCACGTCTTGATGGAAACTGAGGGAGGGACGAGGTGCGACTGGACAACAATGCAGAGTGACGAACGGAACGGAGTAACGGAACGTAAACGCATTCACCATTCTAGCCTGTTTTTAGGTGGGGCCAAGCCTGGAACTAACACATTGCTTCTTCAGCACGCAGATCGGGCAGAGAGTCTGCATTGGCTAGTGAACTTGCCATATACAGAAAGAGCTCTTGAATGTGTTCTCAAAAGTGTTGTAGGGGTCCTTTTCAAAAATCCGATCTTCAGTTCAAATGTTTCTCCTTATATTAAACATTTTTTTATGCTAGAAAGCAGTAAAGGAACGAGACGAGTCTGGTCTAGAGAAAGCACGTCTCAAAGGACAACTGGAAGAGATAGAGAAAAAGGTGTTTTTCATCAAATTTACTTTCGTATTCATTGTTGAACGTTGCCACTTTAAAAAGTTGTCATTATGTTACAGATTAACGACGCCATGATAGCTCTCTGCAGTAAGGAGATGAAACAAGCAGAGAGTCTTTACCATGAAGTTGTTGTGAGCAAGATTGTCACGCAGGAGATGATTTCGGTTAGTAAATTCTGAAAACCGATTTCTTCCCCTTGGAACTTGTTCGGACAGCTTTAGTGTGTTGCAGGATTTGGAGAAGTACATGCAATGCCTTGACAGCTCGATCATTCAGTTCCACAGCGATAAAATGATTGCAATAAACAGAATTTTGGATGATTTGTGGCGTAAGGTCTACGGTGGCACTGACATTCAATCTATAAGTATCAAGTGAGTAAAAGTTAGGTTTATTCTCGTTTGCTAGTGACCTTTGCTGCATCTCACTTTCATAATCGCACTCTACCGTGGGATCAGAAGGCGACGCCGCTGTTTTTCCAGCAGGAGGAGTCACACAGGACTTACACCTAGGGCGACTTATATGGGTTTGAGAAGGGGCAATCGTTACTGAGAGCCGCTACTGCTCCCCTTCCTATGCATGTAACCTTGTCAGCAATATCAACCAAAACCAAATTGAGCGTGGGAATAATTGAGGAGTGCGCTCTGTACAAAAATAAGATCCCTGACTTCCAGTGTAGCCTCATATCTCTCCTATTTAGCTGTTGCAATACCATGCATGTCTTAAAACAATGAAAACGCAGAAAATCTCTATCTGTGATATTTCGGTTGTTAGGCCCATTACCCGAAACACATACTCATTTCCACTCAGCTTGTAAGGAGCACTGAATTGCTGATGCCATCCATGCTTAACGACACCTTTTGCTCATGAGTGTTGGTACCAAGCATGAATTTGTGTATCCTGTCTGGGTCTTGAAGAAAAACCTTCGGAAACAGGCCGAATGAGGCATTTTCAGCACTAAAGTCTGTGACTCTGTGAATAGAGACACAGTTACACGCGGCTAGCGCGAGGCGTTCATACTTTGCGGCAGCGACCAGTAACGTGCACCGTGACCAGCAGCGTCTAGGAGTGGAGAGAATGGGGCGATGGGAGGGTAGCAGACAGCTGGTACCTCCTATCGCCCATACTCTACCAAAAATCTGCTCCCTCCTATCTCCCCATACTCTACCAGCCATCTATCATCTATCTATCATCAGGTTCTATCATCTAACCATCTATCATTCTTGCTTCGCATTTTCACGACGGAACGGCACTTTTGTGCTGCAGGATTTTTCCTTTCTTGAAGTGCTTACAGGATGTGTTTTTAGGATTTTCGGGATAAATTAGCTGTTCATTTCGAGAAATGTGCTTTCTTCAGATCAGAATGTGCAGCAAGTACAGAAAAGAGGAAGGTTTATGACTACCGGGTAGTGATGGTGATCAAAAATGGTGTCGAACTAGATATGAGGGATCGTTGTAGTGCAGGGCAAAAGGTGTGTCACTTGTACTTAATGTTTCATCTTAAGAAATGACATCTTTATAGGAGCGTTGTTCCATGAGAGTCAGCACTTTTCTATGTACATTGTGCTTCAGCGTAACCAGTTTCAGATGCTGGCATGTATACTTATTCGAATAGCATTGGCTGATGTATTTGGAGGAGCATGCTCAATAATTGCACTCGACGAACCAACGACAAACCTTGATGCGTTGAAGGTCTTTTTCTATTGAAAAAATAAAAAAATTCCCAAGGCTGCGTACTTTGTGGCAGCGTCTATCAGCAAAAATAGCGTCCACCAGCATTCCGAATGTCCGGAAACGTCAGCGACTAGGGATTGTATAGATATAGATCCGACGTCTGCCAACGTCTCCTGGGGACCAGCAGCGTCCGGGAGTGGATAGTATGGGGCGATAGGAGAGGTGCAGACAGCTGATAGAGTATGGAGAGATAGGAGGGTAGCAGACTGCTTGTAGATAGTATAGCGCCATAGGAGGGTAGCAGACAGCTGGTGCCCTTCCTATCCCCCATACTCTCTACTAGCAGTCTGCTGCTAGTCGCTGATGCACGCTGGCAGACGCTGGTTCGATATCTATAAAATCCTAGTCGCTGAGACGCTGCCGGGTGCTCGGAAAGCTGGTGGACCCTACTGCAGGGCACAGCATTCGATGGGGATTTTGGTCGAGCCTGTACCACCCCCCCC